GTCGGGGTGGCTCTCTCGTCCAGGGCGGAAGATGATGTTCTTAACTGCTAAGATGAGGGGAAGGTGGAAAGTCCCCTCCGGTGGCCAATCCACGGAGAATGTGGGCCACTCAGACGAGCAGAAAGTCTGCCATTTACTTTTTTTAACCTGAAAGGAGAGATTGTGAGCCCTCTCTCGAACCTCCGACCAATGGTCGAGGGTGAGGGACAATGGGGACGATGTCGTTTGTCCCATGGTGTTCTGAAGACAAAGAGTGGTTAGCGTACGCGCGACACAACAAATAACCGATCACAACAGTCACAACACACAGGACAAACAGGCCGGCCACCTCACTCTCACGCATTAGTTTCACATCAAACGAGTCACCTTAGGGGGTGCCTCCAGATTGGCCCGGACGGACCACAGATTGGGAATGAAATTCCCCAGATTGGCCCAGACGGACCACAGATTGGGAATGAAATTCCCCAGATTGGCCCAGACGGACCACAGATTGGGAATGAAATTCCCCAGATCGATAGGAAAATCCTATCGCAGACGGTGAGTCACGGAAAACCGTGTGGGGCGTCCCCCGATCACCCAAGAACAGAATTTGCCCGTGAAGTAGAGCCGGAGTTCGGCCTGGGGCGAAAGGAAATGGCGGATCGATCCAAAATGAAAGTAAACAAAAACTGGCCGTACTACTTACCCCAGAGAGGTGCCGTTGGGGTCTCCCTCTGCGAGGAGGTCTCTTCTCAGTTTGATCTCGCTGGGGCCTCCAAAATGTTAGACCGGTGTCGCGAGGAAGACTCCAAGGGCCTCGCTCTCATGTAAAAACAATGGGGTTTTTATTATTCCGTGTACACGGGGTCCTCCAAACAGGTGGAAACGGAGAACCCTGAGTTGGGGCAAGGCTGGTGTTTTTAAGGATGAAAACCGCAAAGCAAGCAAGCATTGTTACAGAAGCCAATCATAGCAGTTAGAGCAGAACAGTTGGTGATTTGTCCATTTGTGATTGGTCAGATCATGAGGGGCGACCAGTGGGTCAGAGTTGATTAACTGTCTTGTTTTGCACAGCTTATTTTTAGGTCACCTAGCTCCTGTGTGGCTTGGTTCTGACATACTTCCCAATCTTGATTAGCATAGTCAGTAGACTTTATCTCTGAGTTTCCTGACATAATTACCTTACTTTAGCACCACAACCTTTCTATTTGTAGAGGGCAACAATGGTTAACATATCAATTGGGTAAGATTTTACAATTCTTTACAGATGAGAGCATTGATTAACATATCAATCTTTTACCCAGGGGAAAAGGAAGACACACATTTACAGTTACAGGTATTACTATGATATAAACGAAGCTATTTCTGTGAAGAATGTACAATCTAATACAATCTGATGCAATTAACACAATTTGTGACGGGGCTACCAGATAGGGAAGACCCAGGATGTCAGGAGCTAGTACCTCAGGCCTTTGTTTTATGGCCTTTAGGAAGTTAAAACTTAACCTAGTTGGATTTGAAGGGAGAAGGGGAGGGGAAGCAGCAGATGGAACGAGCTTTCTTCGTCTCTTCATGAGGACAAAAGTGTGCCACATGTGGAACAGAAAATGACAAAGGGCAAGATCGAAAAGTTTATACATGAAGACCTGCAACCACCTGTTTATTATTTGTCCTTTATTATTTGCCCATTTCAGTTTGTTTACCTCAGTTATTAATCAGAGTCATGTTTTGGTTCAAATAGCCTTTTCAACAGATTGTGACAATAGCAGTTTATATATTAAGACAAGAATTTGTATTGTGTTCCTATAAAGGTATATTACTGATTCATACTTGTCCTAAATGTTAAAAATTCCTTTTCTTACTTTGTGATAATTCCATAATATAGCTACAAATTGCCAAAGTTAATAATGGATTATTTTGTGTCAGTTTTGATAGTTGTCCTCGCATGATAGAAAACAGTAGGATTTGATAGAGGACAAGACCTTAATTTATAGCTTACTAGGATAATGGATAATGAAAAGAATACTTAAAGATTCTCACTACTAGAGAAACATACTAATCATGTTTACCATTTGTAAACAAGTTTATCCAATGTATAAAAGTTCTTTTTATTTATTTTGTTACTATGATGTAAGCACTGATAATGGGAATACTTAACTTGAAAAAATCATTTGAAACTGTAAGTTTTGATTTAATTTGCATTTCTCTAATGGGCAGAAATGTTGAACACTTTTTTCCGTATGTCTTTAGCTTCTGGGTTTCTGCTTTGCCCAAACTCTGTGGATCTGTTTGAACTGCTAGTGAATGATGAAGGAAGGATCCCCACAGGTGTAGGTGCCTGAGGCCTGTGAGGAAACTGTTGGGGGCTAGTGTGATGAGAATGAAGGTGGCGGTAAAGAAAAACAACTGTGCAACAGACAACGGGTATAACTGTGAAGGCCTGGAGCTCAGGGTTTGTACAATTTGGAGACTTCAGGAGGCTGAGAATGGGCCCATACCCCTAAAGCAAGAGAATTTTGGGGGACCTGCAACCTGCAGTCACAGCTCTCAGAACCAAAGAATTTTAGTTTGCACCCCCTGCTCAAATCCTTAAACTGAAGTCCAGGAACTATCCTTTTCACACTTCATCTTTGCATGTTGTTCTCACCCATTACCTGAATTCTGCCCCTTAGTCTTTCCTTTCCCCTAATGTTGTTTTCATAAGAGGAAGAAATGTACAGGTCTCAGAGCAGTAAGCCAGCCTGTCATATGTAGTTAGAACTATTGGGAAAGATTACCTGAAAGTCCCTAAATAAGTTCTCAAGGCTAAGCTTACCTCTAATTCCTTCTCCTTCCATAGGACACAGCCAGACATGGCTTACTGCTCTCTCCCAACTGCCAGAGGTAGGTCTATGCCCCTCTGCCCTGCTTCTGTGGTTAACACCCCCAACACTAAGTATACAGACCTGTGAAAGAACAACTTCGTAGGCCATCACCTGATCCCAGCATTCTATGCGTGAGTCTGGGACAAGAACATACCCATTGGTTGGACACTGGATCAGTGCATCTACACCAGTATGGACAACCCTGGTCGTGCCTTCATCAAGACAGTGGGCAAGGTGGCTGGAGATGAGACATGTGAGATAGGAGGCTCCCCTGAGAATCTCCCCTGATCATCTTCCCTGTACTGTTGTTATTTCAGGCTGTTCCCCCTAAAAATCTTGGTTTCCCTCAAGATAGTTGAACCATTCATACTCAAGTTTCTGACCCAGTAAACTAATACATAACTGATTATTAGGCAGGATTTTCTCTCTGTAACCACCTCTCCCTCTTCAGTTCCCTTCAGGTATTTACTGACCTGTTTGATCCCGCAATTCAGGACCAACGCAACGGATAGGACTCCCAGGTGTTGAAGCACACCACTGACCTGGATGCCATAAGGTGAGCCAAGTATTCCACTTCTGATTTGTGTTGCTGTGTGCAACATTCTGTAGCTCCCGTCCCTACACCTTGATTGTTTCTTGACTCATAGTCATTACACTGCTGATGTTGATGGTGGGAGAGAGCTATCTTAAGAAATGGGCAGGGAAGGATAACATGTTTAAGCAGACAGTAAAAAGGGCTCCAGCAGAGGGTGGGCTAGCCAAGACATGTGATCTGAGAGGCCCAGTGGCCACTGTGAGTATTCTTAACTGAAGTGGCTTTGCTCTTGGACATCTTTCTGTTTGATGAGCCTGTGTCCCCACTGCTGACTGAAGCAAGAGTGGCCCAAGACTGGCCAGGTGTTCAATATGAGGTTGCTCCTTACCTCTTTTATTCTCCATACCCACAAAAGCCCTTTTTCCTCTGTCTCCCAGTTCTTGTCTTGTCTTGATCCCTTTACCTCCTACCCTCAGGCACAACAATGAGAGGAGCTTCTTGATCTGGATGAGTGAGGAGGGTCATAAAAGGTCATCTCCATGGAGAAGGGTAGCAACGTGAAGAGAGTGTACAAAAGATTCTGCCAGAGCCTCAAAGATATTAGAGAGAGGTGTTTAGGGAATCTAGTAGAAGGAAATAAGAAAAACCAAAGAGCAGCTTAGGGCTATCACTGATCAACCAATTCAGGACATTTCCGATAGTAAACAGGATCACTGTTAATTAATCCAGGAAATGAGTATAAACAAGGATATACGGTCACTGTAAGAAAAGGGAGGTAAAATGTCCAAAATCTGAGGATTTAAATAAAACAAGTTGTCAGATAAAGCAAAGAAAGACTAACAGACAGCAAGCCAGTGCCAGGGATATGTGGTGTGGGATTGTGTGATACAGATAAGAAAAACATTTGAGTTTATGTCAATATCCTGCATGTTCATGTGTCTGAAGCAATATTCTAGTTCTTTCTTTTGGCAGGGGAGGGAGCTGAGATCAGGTCTCACTATGTAGCTCAGGCTGGCCTTGAACCCACTATGTAATACAAACTGGCCTTGAACTTACATCGATCCTCTTGCCTCAGCTTCCTAAGTCCTGGGATTACAGGCATGTGCCACCACTTCTGGTGTCCCCCAGTTCTAAATCAAGCAAGATAAGCCTTGACTATGAACTCTGACATTTCTGCTGAAGTATCAAGTTAAGACTTTAAGCTAAGAGTGAGAGACTAGGGAGGTGGAAGATAGAAGAGCTCAAATCCCAGAGTATATGGCTCTCCATGAGTGATTCAACTGAATCTGCAATTCTAAGCAGACCAGGTCTGCTATGTTCCATTCTACGTTAGAAATTGCCATAATCCCAGTTCTCACTGTACATTTTCATTTATGCGGTTCTGTTTTGAACTTTAAAAATAAAAAGAGAGAGACTTTAGGTTTTAGCCAAGAACATACAATTTTTGGCAACTAGTAGGTAACGTTTTCACCATGAGGGAGTATAGAAGTACTTTTTAAATTAGTGTCTTAGTTTCCTCATCTATAAAACTGAGATAAAATTTCCAAAGTTTTACATTGTCATGGGGAATAAATGAAATAACATAGGTAAAGTAAGAGATCTGCAGAAAGTCTCAGTGTTCACAGTATTATTTATTATTCTTGGTGGAAGGGTTTCCCTCTGTTCAGCATGTAAGAATCTCTCATGCCCATGTTCTTTCTGAAAGGTAAACAGGGTCCCTTTCCCCTATGTTGGATAGTGGTCTTCATGTCCACTGCTCCGGCAGATCCTCTGTCTCTCCATCTCTAGTAGTCATCTGCATGGTTAGGATAATTATCCATGAAACAAGAATGCCCTTCCTGTGCCTGCTCTTGCTTTTTCACTCAGATATCTATCAGTCTGGCTTTTTACTCTATTTTCACATTTCTCTGCTTTTTCCTATATGTTCCTCGTATAGCTAACAGAAGATTCTCTTGCCTCTTCCTGTTTCAGAGCTTGTACCCTCACTTTCTGTCTGCAAGGACCTACCAAAGTAGAGATAATGCATGTAGAACACAGTGAATAATTAATTTCTTTCTCAGTTCAGTTTACCACCTCTGTTTACTTCCCTGGGTCATTCTTACTGCATCACTCCTTCAAGTTCCTTTGCATGCATGATGACAGTAACAAGCTGTTTTCTCCCCAAAATCTCCAATATTTCTCATTTACATCCAGGTTTCTAATTCTAGACATATTACAGTTCCTGTGGATCTAGCTAAAGCCACATATCCGTGATTTTTTACTAATAGAATAGTTGTGGACTCCAGTGGGACAGCTGATCCAGGAGCATGGCTGGGAGTCCATGTGGAATGACCATTTAGGATTCTTCACTTGTCCATAACTTGGACCCAATTTTAGGCAGGAATGCACATCGCATTGCCCCTGCTAAACAAAGTAAGTTATAGAGGTTATAAATAAAGAAGGGGTTGTGGCTGGGGAGTGAGAAGGAATAGGCACTTTGAAACAGCCAGATTCATTGTGACTGAAGTCAAAGGAAAGATCTGTGAGTAGGTAGGAAGTCTCTCCCTCCAGCCCCCATCTCCTGTCTAGGACAGGCACTTCCCAAAGATACTGAAGAATTTGAGACTCCAAAATCATGGTGGGGCAGATGCTTCTGCCACAGGCAGTGTCTTCGACTCTCTTGGATCAACTGGGCAAGTCAGAGGTGAGATGCTAAGGGATTAGGGCTAGCAGAGTAGGTCTGTGGTGATTGAGTTATGACCGTGAGGGAGCCTTAGGAATGTAATAGAATTTGAAATGAAATTCAAGTTGGTGGGAAGGTGATTGGAAATGAGTTTCCAGAGCAGGAAAGTCAGTGCTAAAGAAACTCAGATTTGGGAAGCAAGGTTCTAGGATTAGAGATCAACTAATTGATTGCCTGAGAATGGTATCAGGAAAGAGGCAGGATATCCTTATCCTTTATCATCCTATCTACAACAAACATTAACTTCCTCTCTCACACTCAAGATATCCAGGCTTCTGACCCCTCTCATGGTGGCCAGGTATACTTGCCCTGGACCTGTCCCCCACTCCTGCCTCCACTCAAGTAGGGACGCCTTGCTATACTCCAGTTGTTTGTGTTATTTATACATAGCCTCCAGGAAACGAAAAGAAGCAGTGGGGTGATGTATGATGGAAGGAGACTTTAGGTGTGACATGCCAGAGAAGCCAGCTCTCAGGTGAGTGGCAAGCATCAGCATTTGCCCAGATTCCTCCTCAGCTCCTGAGAATAATTAGGATGCACTTTATTCATTATGATGTAAGGCTTCTCTCGACAGTGATCTCCCTCAGCTGTAGACAAGCTCACCGCAGGTGCCCAAGGAAGCTGATCAGTGCCAGGGCCCAGGCAGGTTGTGACCAGCACCGAGAGCAACAAGCTGAGCTTCGGCCTATAACAACACCAGGAATAGAAAGAACATCACAACTTTGTTCCCCAGAAGCCTTCGAAACTTTGAAACTAGTTCTCTACCTATGGACCCTTCACTCCAAGGATCTCCTTGTGGGGAAGGAGGCAGAAGTAAAGGCCAGACAGTGCCATGTTAGACCTGAGATTTCAGGTCAAGCCGGAGCTTAGATGGAGGGTCCAGCTGTTGGGAACTCACTCTGCCGTTCAGGAGTCTCTTTGCCCTCATGTTGGGCCCATACAACTGCTCGTCGCTGCTCAGGACTCAGAAGGGCCATTTGCTCAGGAGTGACAGCCGCAGCCTGGACACTGGTGAGACTGGACAGCTGGGTGGGGCTGAACACCACCTGGTGGTAGAGAAAAGAATCAATGCATCTATGTAGCCCCCTGGCTGTCCTGCAGTCACCCCAGGCCCCAGTCCATCAAATCTTACAGCAAATTTAGGAGCAGGGATGACAGAAATGGCAAGAGGGGTCAGGCCCTGGATCTGTCCCCGCAGCAGAGCTGAAAGAGCCAGGTCTGGGATCCCAGCTGTTGAAGAATGGAAGATGCATGCCATAGAGTAGCCTTTTACTGTCTTCAAACCTATAGATCTCTAAGTGCTCTCCCTACCACAGACCTTCCCTAACATGCCTCTAAGCCGTTACTTAAACACCTTTCAGACTTGCACTTTACGAGTCCAGGGCAGTCCTCCCCCTAAGTCTACCCATGCTATGGAAACCAAACCATGGCAACAGGTTCCAGCAGTGGCCCAGCCTCTCCACCTGCTATTGTGCCAATTTCAGTGAAGATCTCAGGCCCCCAGTTACTGACTGGGCCAAAGCCACCAGGCAGCACAAGAAGGTGGGCCAGAACTTCCAGCTGTTCCTCGGAGCACTGGAGATGCAGGCTGCCCAGGAACAGAGCTGCTTGGCTGTGGAAGAGTGGGAAGGAAGGGAGAAGTGAGCGTGGGGACTGAGGTTGTGTTAGTGTGACAGGGGAAGACAGGGCTTCAGATGCACTTCCTTCTCCCATGGGATGCCTCCCTCCCGATCCTCCCTCCCCGGGGAGCCCTCCTTCAGCACCCCCACAGCCCCCCACAAGTGACCTGAACTCCCAACTGCTGATATGCTGCAGCTCCTCTGGCCTCAGTCCACACAGCGTGTAGCCCAAGGCCGTCAGGTGAATGAAGTCCAGATGGCTGACATGCCGACCACTCTGCCGCAGGAAACTGGAGACCACGGCCCGGAGCTACAGAGGAGGTGGAGAGTGAGGACACAGGACAAAGAGAAAAGGACAAAGGACAAAGGAATTATTAGACTAGATGAGGAAGTGACCAGGGAGTGATGGGTGGTGCTGAATTCTATTCTTTCATTATTAGGATCAGAAGATAAAATAACCACAAAGACTGCCCCTATCCCTTTATAAAAGGAGAGAAAGAGGGAACTCCTCAGAAAAGAGGCAGGAGAGAATATTTTTATTCAAGACCTCAGAGTGAATAAACCACAGAGTCTCTAAGGTCACTGGTATGGTTATGAAGATAGAAATCTTTGGCCCTTGGCCAGCCACAGTTCTGAGTCTGTGGGATGGAAGCTCAGGGATCCTCAGAGAGGCAGGAGAGGAAATGTTACCTGGACCAAGCTCCAGCCATCTATCTGCCCCAGGGTGCTCAGCACTCCCCAGTCCACCAGGATCAGCTCCTGGAGCTCTCGCTCTCCTAGACCTATTAAGAGCCGGCCCAGCTGCAGAATCTGCTCAGGACGGAATCCTCGAGGGGAACCCCACAGCTGGGAGGAAAACAAGAACAAAGTGAATGGGAAAAGCACTGGACTAGGGTCAGAATGCTGGGTCTCAACCCGGCCTCTGACCTTAGCAGTGGAATTCTGAGCAAATCACTTGCCTTTCCTGTAGTTTTTCTCCACAGTAAAATGAAGACATTAGACAATAGTTCCCGTGACTAAAGGGTTATTGAAAGACCCTAGAATATCAGAAACACAAGCAAACTCCACTCCATAAATTCTGGACTTCTGTGTGTAACACACTCACTGACGCGCACGTTAAAAATGCAGATGCTGAGGCCCCCAAACCGAGATACTTAGCTGGCATTATACCCCAACACTAGTATTTTAAAAACCTGCTTCCCAGATGGTTTTGATACTGACAGTTGATAACTGCTTCTCTAGTCCCTCTATTATTTTTTAATTTTAAAAAGAAAAAAGCACAGAAAAATTAGAAATCAAGCAAACAAAACAAATATAACAACAAAAGTCACATGATGAAAACAGCAACAAAATATTGATACAGGAGTTCAAAATAGGATGATAAGAATTTAACAATGGTTGTTATATTACACATTGTTATCTTCAAAATAGTTGCTCAGGTTACCAGATATAGACATGCAAAATTGATCAAACAATATGATTTCCCTTTGAGCAGGTTCATTCCCTTTCACTATATTCATTGTAACTTGTGGATCTTACTTACTTTCAGTTTCTTATACTAGTAAGACAATGTGGTACTTACATATGTGAGTCTGATTTATTTCACTTATGAGTATGGTCTCTAGTTGCTTCCATTTACAGATAAATAAAACCCTTGAGTATATCCTTCTTTATAGCTGAGTAGTACTCCACTGAATAAAAATACCACATCTTTTTTATCCATTCCTCAATTAATGAGCATTTGGGTTGTTTCAAAAATCTGGCTATTACATAGTCCCTCTATTTGAGTACTAGCTCCATTTCCTCAATATTGATCCCCTCTGACCTACTTGTGATCCAAACTCTCCATTTTTATCTCGTTTTCCTGACTCTCTCCCAGCTTTCCATTCCCTTGTGTTCCATATCATGCCTAACCAACTGCCTCCTGTTTCCCCCCTCTAACTGCTAGTGGCTTCCCCATCCCTGACCTTCTTTGCCTTGCCCATGGCTGCCTGTAGTTCCTCAGGCCCAAGCCCCGGATCTGCTGCAAACAGTGCCAGGCAGTCCTCAAAGTCTGAGAGTTCCATGTCTGCAATCTGTGTGGCGGACCAGGCTGCTGGGAAGGTCCCTCGGATGTCTGCACAAGTTGGTACAGGCTCTGCACGGGGAAAGCAAGCACAGAGGGTCAGAGTAGTGTTAAAATATGCCCAGAGAGATGTCTGGAGATGGAACCTTTATAAGGTGGAGCAGTTTAAGCAGGGGTAGTTATAGAGTGAGATTTATAGGCTTTACAGCAGTGGGGGCAAACTTAAGGCACACATATTGTTTTTCTTTTAAGACAGAAGATGTTATTGTATGAGTTTTTTCTAAACTAAAACCTCAGTATTCAGGTTTAATTGCAATTCTAGCACTTTGCGATAAATAAATGGGTTTTAGGTTGCAGTTTGGGCACTCAATCTTTAAAAGGTTTGCCATCACTGGTTTAGAGGGTATCAGAAGAAGAAGGAAGCACTTGGAGAGGCCAAGACTATAATTTCATAGGTGGAAGACTGAGGAGGTTGCCCTTGTATTTTATGGCAGAGCTGAGTTAAAACCCAGGTCTCTGGACTCACAATGTCTCAATCCTTCTAAGGATCTTCCCAACAGAAAGCTCCCTGCTTAGCCAAAACAGAGCTGAGTCTATTGATAAGAGAACAAGAAAATAGAGTCCTGGGCTAAAAACCTAATGAAGATTCCTTGGTGTTAAGATATCAAGATGGACAAGATACCCTGGCAATCACCTCAAAAGCCCAGAGAGTAGAAGGTTTGTAGATTTGGTTAAAGGGTACATCATCGTTACAGAGCCCAGATTTCCACCACCTCAGTCCTGGTGTTCAAATCAAGGGCCTCATGCATGCTAGACTAACACTTGGCCACCAAGCTACACCACAGGCCAGACTTCTGAGAGCGTTATTTGATACTCTCCCCTGTACACTCTGCTGGATATCTGAGTATTGAGGTAGCCTCACCTGGAAGATCCTCAGCAGCTGGCCGAACAACCCCTGCTACCAGGGCTGCTTTCTTGGCAGCAAGCTGTGGTCTCCAACACAGCTTTCCAACTCTGCTCTGCTCCCAGCTCTGCTGCTTTTCTAGAAGCCGTTCCAGGGTCTCTGGGCTCAAAGCCTCCTGCATAAGAAAGTAGAAGGTTGGGGAGAGATCTGAATAGGGCAGGGCCAGCTGCTGCAGCTGTAGTTCCAAAACCTGCCTGTGTTTAGCAGTCTTCCCCAGACCCAGGTTGTATTTCCCGTGTCCTCCTCGGCCTGGGATTCATTGATCCCCTGTGCATTTACTCCCTCCATCTTACCCTGGGAATCAAGGAAATAGCCTCAGCAGACAGAGTAAATACTAGGCGTCCAGCTTGCTCTACTTCTTCCTGGCTCCACAGTTCTGGTTTCCTAAAGGACAGGAAGATGATCATATGCTGGGAGCTGAGGGAACCTTGAGAAGAAGAGAACAGAGCGGAAGTGGGGATTCAGGCTCCCAGGGACATTAAGCCATTGAAGGGGGCAGTCGAGGGACTGGGTATAGGAAAAGTTAGAATCTGAAGTTCCCAAAGGTCCATACCCAAGAGCGGGCTCCTGCAGCAGCAGCCGTCCCAGCTCTGCGGCAAATGTTTCTCCCAGGCAGAAGCCCTGCAGCTGAATGAGATGGGACAGCAGGATCGGTAGAGGGATCCGTCGTGTGCTGTCTGTACCCAGAAATCCAACCAAGGGGCCCAGTGTTTCCAGCACTTCCTGTGAGATCGGGGTCTCCTTTGGCACCTGGAAAGGGGCATCAGGTCTTAAGACAGTGCAACTCTAACTCAGTGTACCAAATTCCTGGAAATTCTTTCTCTGCTGCCTCCAGTTTAACAACCTAGGATGTTATCTTTGTTCACTTTCTTAAATAGTGAATGAACTCAGATAAGAGTAAGGCAGAAAGACTAAAAGGCAGGATCCAATGGATTTCTCAGGCCCCTGTAGGAAGGACAGGAATCATAAAGCAGGTTATTGAGAAACAGAATCCAGGGGCAGATCTAGAGGCTAGAGGCCCTTATAGGTAGGAAACACGTTTGTCCGCAAGAAGGGGCTTGGGCCTGGGAGACAGGCAAAGATCCCTGTCCGAGGGTCATGCACTGCCAAGGGCAGCAGCTGTGAGTCCAGCAGGGTGGGCTCTTACCAGGTTCTGCAGTGCCCTCTCTGCCAGCGCTGCCTGGTGGACACGGGTCAGTGTCAGCAGCTGCTCTGGAGCTCCTTGTACCAGCTCTACCACCAACATAATGGATTCATTGGACAGTCTGTCCATCAGCGGGATCCTGGTACAGTAATTGGACAGCAGGGACACTCAGTCACAACTCAGCCAAGTTGAGAATGGCCCTCAGAACCTCACATTCCCCTGACAAGATGTAACACAAGATCAAGTGCTGTGACCCTGGGCTGGCACTGATACTAAGCAGCCCTGAGCTACTTATCACCACTTGATTGAAAGGAAAGAACAAAGAGAGTAACATACTTAAAGTGTTCTGAAAAGAAATAAACTATCTTATCTGATGTAATGGACTCAGAAGCCCCAAATACTAGGTACCATTAAATTTTTCTTATCCTGCTTTCTGTGTAACTTGTGGTCCAGGATTTTTCTCTTCCTGTAGGCAATTAGATTTCTCCTAATCTAAATTATCTCAGAGAACAAAAATATTTAAATTGATTTGAATGACATTAGCAAAACAAAACCCTTTGGCCCACAAATCTGACATCATGCAGTCTATTCAGGGTTGTCAATTCTGGAACTGGGCCAAACTGTACAAGAGCCAAAATCTGTACCTATAAAAACGTAAGGATGGAGTGATCTGCTTCTAACCATCTCCAAATCCCCCAGAAGACTGCAACCCTTGCCTTGTTCACCTCTGACTTGTGACTCAAAGGAAATGGGAAAGGGGGGGGGGGTTAAAGTGAGAAAAGAGACACATAAATGAGACATCATGAACTCCTAGACTCTCTGGGATGGAGAAGCCTTAAATTTTCTCTTTCTCCAACCCATACTTGAATCTGCTGTACAACACTGCTGCAATGGGTCCATTTCCTTAGGCTTGGATAGCTCCAGGGATTAGGAACTCACTACCTCCATTTTTTTCACATTGTACAAAAATTTGATTTTAACTCAATCTTGCCTCATGTAACCAATACTGTCTATTTGGTAGGCTCTTGGGGATTTAAATGCATTTATCATGTTTTTCATGATTTTCTCTTCATTCACTCCTCTGAACACACCGAACACAGCATTCTAAGTAAACTACAGTCCACTATGGAGGAAGTGGACCACTACCTCCCTTTTTTCATACTGTATCTCTATTAATGTGGCCTAGGTTACATGAAGATTACTTAGCAGGCCACAGCAGCATCACCACCCTCTGGGGTCTTGTGTTGGAGTCATTTGAATAGAAGCCCCTGCTTTGGGCTATGAATGATGTCCAGGAACCACGAGACCGAGAAATGCTTCTGTTGGGTACTTCCTAAGTGCAGGTCTACTCTCACTTGAGCTTAATGAGGATCCAGTATCTCTGGGTATAGCATTTACGGTAAATCCAGGAGTAGTTTGGTGTCAAGCCCGCTCAGTTCTGGCCCCAGTGTGTTCAATTCTGGCTCTGGCATTGTCATCCTCCGCCATAGTTCTGCCCAGATGCAGGCCCTCTGTAGGACAGGGTGGGGAAGCAGGTCAGGACTGAGCTGAGCAGGTGGTAGGGTTCTGCACTCAGGGTCCTGGCCTCCTGGCTCCCACTCATGCCCAAGTCCCCCGCTCACCAGGCTCCCTCGGACCCCAGTAGGCAGTTGGTAAAGCATGTGTACCACTTCCAGGAAATCTGCCACTGAGCTGATCTGTTGCAGAAACTCGCAGGTCATGCCTGCTGCCAGGTTGCCTAGACCCCTGTGGGTGTGTGAGTGGACAGATGGCTGAGCCTGGCTGCTCCTTGATATCAGCCTGTGCAGCACAAGGACATGCTCATTTCTGGTCATTTACAGTTTGAGGGCTGTTTATACATAGACAATCTCATTGGCTTCCCAGACATTACTGACTATCAGAGAAGAAAACAGATTCACACAGGTCTACTGACATTCCAATTTCAACCTGCTAGAAGCATGGTAAACTGGGCCTAGGGCCATGTCTTCAGATTCTAAAGCCTCTGGTTCATTTACAAGTAAGTATAAGTAAGATGATACTTATTTTTATTTTTGCTTGACCAGTGGCTCTGAAGTCCCCTTAAATTAAACTAACAGCAAATATCTACTCAGAGTTTATACTGAGAAAACACTATGTTAGATATCTGGGGTGTGTGTGTATGTGTGTGTGTGTGTGTGTGTGTGTGTGTGTGTGTGTGTGTGCTGGGAATTAAACCCAGGACCTTGGGAGTGGTTAGCAAGCACTCTGCTAATGAGATACATCCCATCTCTATTTTACTTTTTATTTTGGCTTATGGTCTTACAGAGTTACCTACATTGGCCTCAAACTTGTGATTTCCATGCCTCAGCCGTAAGTAACTGAGATTACAGGTATATATCATCGGACCTAGTTTATATAGAATATCTTACATGTCTTATCTCATTTAATCTTCACAGTGACTACCTATGAGCTAAGTGCCCTAGTCTCATTGTACAGAAAAGAAAACTGAGGCGTAGGTTAAACGATTTGCCCAAGAGCACAAGTAGGTGCCAGGACAGGGACCTGAACACAGATCTTCTGAGTCTCTAAGCTCTAATCAATGTGGGTCTGGCACTGTAGAGAGGCAGGAAGGAGGGCAAGGGGGAGGCAAGCCAGGGGAATCATGATGAGGCTGAGACTATGCATTATCTGTGTCCCCTGTGGCATATTACATGGTACATCGCACATGGTCAACACTCAGTAAATGTTAGCTGGTGCTCAGTGTGCGGCTCAGTAGCAGATCCTTTGCTCTGCTTTCATGAAGCCCTGAGTTCAATCCCAGCACCACCACACACACACACACACACACACACACACACACACACACACACACACACACACGTCAATTAAATTGACTGTTCAACCCAAGTTACTCACTGAAGATTCCTGAGGGTCAGGTTGGTGGGTACCTGCATCTTCTTCCAGAGAAACTGTGCCTAAAATAGAAAGAAGAGCCACTTCCCAGCAGAGATACTAACCGCAAGACCTGATCCTTGGACTCAGCCCTGCCTCTCTACTCTGTCCCATCAGATGTTATTTTCCCAGTGCCTGTTCTCACTGAGAGGTTGAGGGGGGGGGCACCATGAGGGCTTCTAGGGAACAAGCACCACATTGGGCCAGGGGTGGGTAAAGGAGGTAGACGAGGTTGAGAGGGATCTCTGAGAGACGAAGTAAGATAATTACCTGCTGCTCAGACCAGGGAAGATCCCGGTAGCGCCTCCGGTTTGCCAGAAGGGCTGCAGCATCCAGCTGTAGCAGCTTTAATGGGAGCAGGGGAAGCAGGCAGTCTGGCCAAATGGTGGGCGTGGGCTGCTGGCAGTGACAGGTGTGACAGTATAGGGACAGATGAGAGGTTCTGCACTCAGCCCTTGGAGAAGGGGACCCATGGGAGCAGAAAGGGACCAAAAACTAGGTTAGGGTGGAATGGCATTTGCCACCTTAGCAATGGACACCTAAGTTCCTTCACACTGAAGGCCACTGTGGTTAAGTTGCTGCTAGTTAGAAACCTGATGAATTTGTATCCCTTAGCTTTACTGAGCCTTGATTGCTTCACATGACAATGGAGGAGATTTCTCAGGCCCTTCTGGCTTTGACATTGTGGGGCAGTGCAGTCCATGCTGTCCTGCATCTGGGACTGGAGGGAGCTGCTAATATCTAGGTGGGCACAGAGCTAACCTACACTTTCAGGGCCACTGCAGGGCAGTTTATAAGGCAACACTAGCCAGATGAACCTGTCTCAGAACATGGAGAGGAGCTCGGTTGGGAGATTTCATACATTACCTGACCGGGGACACACGCAGCAGCACCCACACCAGTGGTACTCTTAACACCATCTTTCACCTGCATGAGATTCGGTGGTGTGTGTGTTTGTGTGTGTGGATGTGGGTAAGGCAATGGAAGGCTTCTGCCTCTCTCATACCCGAAAGGTCTGCAGTAGCGCTGCAGTCTGGCAGGCTGAGAGGCGCGACAGTTCAGGAACCAGGCAGGAGCAGGCCCCGACCAGAACTCGCCGAGGGATGGCCTGCAATGTCTGGGGGCTGAGGCCGGGCAGCAGAGGGTGCAAGGAACAGAGTTCCTCCAAGGACAGCTGAGGGGCAGGAGAGACAAGAGACCCGAAGAGGAGGAGCTAGGTGGGGGGGAAGGAATAATCACAGGGCAACAGAGCAAAGGAAAGGGGAACTGAGCGGGAGGAGAGGGTAGGTGCAAGAACCAGGAGAACAAGGGTCACAGACCTCCGGGGGATGTCAGAAAGTTGCTGCCACTCACATCATGCCTAGGGAGGAGCCGTCCAAGCAGCAGGGCAGCCTGGGATGGGATGGGAAAGGAAACAACAGCTCTCAAGTCCCAGAAACCGAGTTCCAAGCAAGTCCTTAGGGCCTGCCCTGTGAAACACCCAACTCCCTCTCCAGCATCCCCAGTGACCAGCCTGACTCAGGGTGCTGCTTAACCAGGGGAACAAGGGAAACCTCTTTGGGACAGGGTTCACCTCTTGTGCTCACCAAGCAGAAGCAGGGGCTGATAGTGTCCCTAAATGTGACTGCCTGGACTGGGGCTCTAGGAAGTGTATGCCAGGGAATGAGACAGACTCACCTGGGCAGGTGTGACGCTGGTTCCCTGAAGGGCAGGCAGCATAGCCCTAAGCTGGGGCTCTGACAGCTCTTGTAGGAAACGGAGGCCTAGCTGGGGGAAGAGAGGGGCCCATACCCGCAGTTCTAGGGGGCTTAGCACCGCTCCTCCAGATGAGCGTAACACACCTAAAAGTTCATACGCCACCTGTAACCAGAGAAGGTTTGGGAGTGGGGGGAAAAACAGCTAAAACTTGGACCTTCTCTCTAATCCCACAACAATTTCCCCAAGCCTGGGTAAGGATTTGGAGCCAGGGATGGAAGCAGCACACTAGATCAAGATGGCAAAGGGTATGTTTGGAACATCACACAACAGATAGGGTAAGGCCAGGAAGGTGTGATAACAAGAATGACCATAGAATAAGGAATGGAAGTTGCAGAGGTGGGTCTGGGGTTGGCACCACTGTGCTTAAGCCTGGGTTGACACAATTGGGCTGCTCAGAGTCCCGGGGGACCCTGAAGTCTTGCAGGCAAGGCCTGAGCCAAGGAGCTCACCCGTCCTTCTGGGCTGAGGTTCCCATTGGCCGCACACTCCAACAGCCCACGTTCTACTGGCCCCATTGGGTCACTCAAGGGCACCAGGCTTTGTAGCTCCTCAGGGCTCAGGAAACAGGCAAGGGACCCAAGCCTGGGGAGGGCATGAAGCTGGCCTTCACATGGTCACTGGGGCTAGTGTTAAGTCAGGGACTATGTGGGTACATTGGAGTAGGCATTCTGATTCCTAACCAAATGGAGGCTCTATATAGACCTCTCTCCTGAAGCCCTGCACCACCTGGGGCCATTACCTACTTGTCCCTTCCTCCTTGGGAGACTAATCCACTAGCGCAGCCATACCTATATCTCTGATCTTTCCCATTCTGGCTTTGATCATTGATCCCACAACCACTCACCTGCGGACCTGCTCCTCACCATCCTGGACACTCTGGTTTACCAGGCTACGGAGCACGTGCCGGGCATGCCCTGGCCCAAGACCTGCCGCTGGCCAGCTATCCTCCAGGGCCTGGATCTGAGGTGGGGAGGGTCACCTTGTGCTGGAGTCTGTGGGATACTTATAGGGAGGGGCCTGCAAGGAGTCATACCACCTGCAGACAAACGAAGATGATTCTCATACCTGGTGAGGGCTGAGCTGTAGGAAGTTCTCCAGGGGGAGGTGGGGGAGCAGGGGAAGCACTGCCCACAGCAGCTCCTGGGGCCAGGCAGGTACTTCCCCAAACAGCTCAGGGGCCACCAGTCGCTTTGCCAGGGCCTCCTTCTGTTCAGGCTTCATTCCTGAGCTGTGGTCTCGGATGGCAGCCAGGCTAGAGAGAGTAATGGGTCTTACCCTTTGCTTTGTTCCAGCTCTTCCTGGTTTAGTAGAGAGGGGCCCTGGAAGAGTCTGATGAAGGTAGATGGTTCTCCTGACCCTGACAGGAACGGAAGGAGTGATGCTTACACACTGTCATTGGCCAGCAGGGATGGTGGGAAGCGCATCAGGTCAGAGACAGCCAAGAAGGGGATGAGTGGTGACAGATCTATGAAAAGCTGGGAGGTGAGGCGTGGGTACCGCTGGAGCAGCAGAGCTGTTAAGCGACCCATGGCCTGCTCCTCGGATGGCGGTACCTGTAGGGGCACAGGAATGATCGTGAGCTCTGGAGACACTCAGTGGCCTTGCCACTTCCTTCCTGGTGTTGCTCCTCCCACTAAGGAAAGCCCTCTGCACACTCGATTCCAGGCACCTTCAATCCCCAGAAGCCCCTCCACCCTCGCATCTCTCACCCTCTATGCCCACCTGAAGCTGGGCCCAGGAACGATGCATGAGTGTCAGGAAGCCCTGCGCAGCTTCCATCTCTGCTGAAAGCACTAATTGCTGCAGATTTTCTGGGGGCATGTGCAGGTATGCCTGGGAATAGGAGGTCATGGTGGGAAGAGACTTCAAGCCAAGGCTGTCACCCAGCCCACTTGGGTGACCCTCTGTTACCTGTACAAGAATCTGCAGGGCCCAAACACTCTTCTCCCTCTGGAGTAGATCCCACAGCACAGGCTGGCAGAGGAGAAAGACAAGATGCCAAGAGAGCTATTTCCACTATCTTACTGCAGCTTCCCAAGAACTGCAACTTAACTCATGGGGATGTGTCCTTCGCTGAAGCTAATATGCGCCTCTCCTTGGATATGAAGCCCCTTTAGGTCAGGAACCTGTAGCTACCTACACCTCAATCTTCTCCCATGCCAGAGCCACAGCTGGCTCAACAAACACTTGTAGACCTGAACCAAATTACTGCAAGTCCATCTAATTCCATTTCGGTGAACCCAGGCCTACAAAAAGTGGCCCTAACAAGGAATCTGTACATCTGTACATTCCCAACAGAACCGAGCAAGTGTCTTGGTACTCAGTGAATGAGTTATGGTATTCAGCATATTTTAAGCTCCTTCCCTGTACAAAGAAGAACATGAAGTCCAGAAAGCTATTTATCCAAATTCACACCAATTTATGGCATATTTGAACTTAAACAAAGTCTTCTGATTTGTAGTCCCCTCTGAATCTTTTCCTTTTTTGGTTCTACCTTACCTTCTGATACTCTGCCAGCCCCAGTTCTCACTTGCTAGGACAAGAATCTGAGCCCTTTAACTTGATTCCCCTTCCTTTCTAGAGCAGAAAGGGGGAGAATCTAAGAGCACAAAAGAATAATAAGATCATTTACTTCATGTTTACGTATTATGCCCTGCATTAAGCCTACAGTATGTATTGTGTCATTAATTCTTACAACCACCTCAAAAAATCGGTCCTGTTACTAGCCTCAGCTTATAACAAAGAAGAAAAAAATACTGCCCATAGAGGCTAAATAACTTGTACCAGACTGATCACAGAATTGAAATGTGAACCCAAGTTTGTGAGACCCTAGAGCCAGGTGCTTGCATCACTCTAAGCATCATCCCCCTGCCTCTCATTGGTCAATCCCCCACGGGCTTCTGCCTAGGAAGATCACTTACACTGAAGCAGGACAAGAGCTCCATCTTGCTTCTACCAGAGCTGAGGCTGACCATGGGTTCAAAACCTGCTGGAGTGGGCTCTTCTTGCTCTAGGAACTCCCCGACTGTCCGAAGCACACTGCGCCGGCCCTCTGGGCGGAAGGCATCCCAGAAGGAGCAGTTGTCAGGGAGACTGGAGAGCAGCAGGGCCTGACCCAGCATGCCCTGGGCTTCAGTCCCTCCAGCCCATGGGCCCAGAAGGAAGGTCAGCAGGCGTAGAAAATAGTGCAGGCGTGTGGAGTGGGCAAGGGCTGGCACTAAGGACTGGCAGCGTGGCAGCTGGGACAACATACCCAGCAGGAAGGGGGCAGGGGCCAGGCAGAGTGGAGATGGCCCAAGGGGTGGCAGAGAAGGCAGAAGAGGAGCCAGCAGCCCTTCTAGAAAGCAAGTGTCATTCCCTCCACGACTTATCCTGCACTGGCCTGCCAGCCAAGGCCAGAAGGGCACCAGGGCCTCATACATGGTGTCATTGGCACAGACCATCAGCAGGAAGCTGCCTCCATCTGGGCAGCGTTCCCCACAGGGTCCAGTGTGGCAGGGTGGGAAGGCAGTGGCATCTGGAGTAGGGCCCCGGCACACGTGCTGAACCCAGGCCTGGTTGCTGGGGGGCACAGCCTGTAGACTCGCCTCTACACACAGCCGCTCAGCCCACAGAGTTTCATTCTCCAAGAAGCATCCCCAGAAGGTCTCCGGAGTGAGGGGCACAGGGACCAGGTCATCGGGGCAGTTGGTAGGAGGTGGGAGAAGGCCAGCACAGAGCTGCTTTACCAGGCGGCGGTTAGGGCCAGACAGGGCTGAGAAGGAGAGGTTGCTACAGATTGCATCCAGAAACTGACTGGGAAACTGGTCATGGCAAGCCTGCAGCCAGCTCTGGGCGCCTGGTACCCATGAGACTGCATACCATACTGCAGTCTGGCAAACAGCAGCAATGCTAGGAGGGGGTTGTGGGGTGGCAGGCCTGGCGTGCTGGCAGAGCAGGTGGATGGAGAAGTTAGAGATGCTGTTGTAGGGTAGTGCTGGTCCTGTGTGGTTCGCGCAGAGGGCCTCCACAGAGATGGCTCGCCGTCGGCGAGGCCTGGTGTGAGCTGAGGGCTGGGAAGTCCTGGGCAGAGGCACACCAGTGCTCAGGCAGTGGAGGAGGGCAGGAGGTGGAGGTGGTGATCCAGACAGAAACCCCAGTGCCTGCACATCCCAGGAGAGATTGTGCCGGATGCCCCTGGGTGCAGAGGGAGGAACAGGCAGGATTGGTCAGTTCACACTTCCTCTAGCTGAACATTCTGACCCTGGCTAAGAGCCCTGCAGGGCATGTGGCAAGCACAGCCTACTCCAGGTGAGGCTCCTGAGAGTGCAGGTGCTACTGGTGTAAATGCTGAAACAGGATCAAAGGAGAGAGATCTGTGCCACCAAGGCTCAAAACTGCCTAGGAGGAACGCTGGTTGGAGTTCTGGCTGCCCCAGTCTGTCCACCTGGCCACCTCATTTCTCTCTCTTTTTTCCTAGCTGGTTTTAGATCATTTAAACACAACCCTTGTTTGGCCTCATATCAGGAAATCTGCCTGGCAATTGTATATGTCTGCTCCGATTCTGTTGTGCTGAGTTAGTGAGAGGGTAGAGGAACCCAGTCTTGCTGGGCGGGTTTTTTTCCCTACACTCCATCTTTTATCGACTAACATTAATTAAGCACTATGTGGCAGGCACCATTCTAAAGAGTTTACTCATAGAGCAACAACTCATTTGATCCCTTGCAACTCTACAGTAGTTACTATTACCGTCCTTATTTCACATACAGGAAAGGGGGACACAGAATATGAAGCATGTCTAAGGGCATGAGTCACACCCAAAGCCCCCAAGCCAAGCTCCTCTCATCAGTTCTCTCCTCAGCCTTCACTCCCAGCTGCAGACTTCCCAGCCCCACTCTCTCAGAACTGCTCTCGGCTGCTTACCATAAGAGCAGCTGCTGCAGGTTTCCTAGGAGGGAAAAGGCAAGGAAGAGGCTATCACCCTTCTTGCCCTGCCACCTCCCAGCCCCAGCCCAAATCACTCACCTCCATGGCACTGCCCATTGGCATCAGGCTCTGGCTGGCCCATGATGGAAAAGACCTCATCTTGCAGGGAGTGTGTGACACGGAGCAGCCCCTCCTGGAAGGCAGTGTAGAGGGGGGCCCCCACTGTGCGCAGCAGACCCCCCCAAAGAGCATCCTCAGAGCCCAGCTCCCCAGGCGGGGTAAGCAAGCCCAACAGACCCTGCAAAAGGTGAGGAACTGGCTCCCTCCCCTCGAAATCTGTGGCATTGATGGGATCCATACTGGGCTGCACCTGCACCAGGGCCTGCCAGCGGGTGCCCTCTAACAGCAGCAGCAGAGAAGGCAACCAGTCAGCAGCTAGCACGCAGTCAGAAGGCCCATCACGGGTGCATGGGGGCCTCGCAGGGGCTGGGGGCCCCCCAGGAACTAAAGCTCCCAGCAGCACCTCCACAAGTCCTCCCAGAACACCTGCCTGGTGTACCAGGAAGTCCCGGGGAGTCTGCTCCTGTCCCAGCAGTGCCAGCACATCCCCCAGTAACCCTAGCATTGGCTCCCAGTCCGGACTACCTCTTAGTGTCACTAAGAAATCATGGAAACGCAGGGCAGGGGGCTGGAGAGGTGGGGGCTCTCCCACTGGCCCCTCCCCCATCCTCCCAGGCTCAAAAGGAGAAGAAATGTTGGCCAGGAATGCGGAGAACCTTGACTGGCTGAAGGAACCCTGGGGAGCCTGGTCCATAGTGGAGAGGAATGACTTCAGGAGGGAAAGATCAGAGTCCAGGGACTGAGGTTCCAAATGGGACAGAATCACTGTAAGAAGAGAAACCCGGAGATCATTGAAGGGGAAGAACCTAGAATCCAAAGACAAGATTGCTCCTGAGCGCACTTCCCACCTGGATCTAAAGGGGAGGGAGGGTGAGCCAAGCCCTTTTCTCTGGCCTGCAGTAAGTCATGGCCTGCTTTCTTAATCTGCACTGTCACCCATAGCATCAGTCTCTGCCCCTCTTCCTGTCCTTTAGCCTTTATCTAACTGTTTAACCTACACATTCTTACCTCTCTTTTCCAGCAATCCTCCCCCTCAACCCCAGCCCTGCTCACTGTTCCTCTCACCGGTGCAGGACAGCAGCAGCAGCAGAAAGGGCCGGAGGCTCAGAGCCATGTTTCCGGGGCAGCACTGGTACTGGAGGTGGATTCTAGCTATTCTCACCTCCTGTGGGACAGCAGGGTGAAGGCAGGGCACTGCAGGCAGCTTGAGGCTCCACTGACACTATAGCGTGGTCTTTCAGGAAACAATATCTGTAACCTGACAGCAGGTTTGTCACCTGAGCCACTGAATACTTGATCCTTTGGCTCTGGGGAAGGGTGTGCTTCTGAGAGAGGGACAAACGATAGGGAACTGGAGGTGGGAGGGGAAGCTGGAAGGACTAAGACAGCTTAGTTATGATCTTGGGTTGCAAAAAGTAGACAGACAAAAGTATGAAAAATTAGAGACCAGGAATGTCATCCAGGATGTAACTTAATTATGGTATATCAATTTGAATGGATTAAGAAGAGTGTAGCAGATTAGTGAAGCACATTTCCATGTGTGTCTGAGAATGATTAACATGCAGGCCAGCAAACCAGGGTGGGGACCACTCATCCCAGTAGGCTTATAGCCTGATGGGATAAAAGAGAAAAGGGGGAAGTGTCCACGTTTTGGAAGAGCTCTAATTATTGCCTTTGCCTTTGGACATGGGTCTCCAGTTTCTTCAGCCTTCTAAAGCAGACTTGCACAGGCACCTCTGAAGTGAGCTTCTAAGGCTTTGATCTTGGACTAGTGCCACATCCTAGATCATCCTTATTCTGAAGCTTGTATCTTTTTGGATTTAATCTTTCAGGTCAGTGATGGTGAATGTACAGCATGCCTGCCACAGCTGACAGTCTCTTATTGAAAGCTCTAAAAGGTTCACCATCATGGACTGGGTCATTTGGCTCTCAATGTGCAGATGACCATTGTAGACTCTCCTGCCTCTGACCCTACAGACAGCTATTATGGACTCTCCTGCCTCAAATCCTGTAAGCCACCTAGTAAATCCCCTTGAATAATTATACATATATTTCCCACTGATGCTGTTTCTCTAGGGAACCCTAACTAATATGAAGTTTGGTACCAGGAGTGGTTCTTGAGAATCTTGTAAGGATGGATTTTTCCAATCATTATAGCAGTTCTAGAGTTGCTTCTGTATTTCAGTGAGGCCTAACATCTCCGTGATCTCTTCTTCTTCTGATATATACAGAATACTGATAGTTTGTGATGTGAAGTTTCTAAATACACTACATAGATCCATTTGATGTCCTAAATCACCACTTGTGAAGTACAAGGAATTTAGTGATACTTTTGAACATCTTTGGAAAAGGAATGTAATGCTGATTGATTGCACTAAGGATCTCTGGGAAAAAATTACTAAGAAAACAGTGGGCTTCAGGCATGAAGCAACAATCTAAAGGCATCTGAGTATTTTCCGAAGGAGAATCTTCTCACCTTTCCCCAGAGGGCTGAAGTTGTTGAAGATCAGTGACAAGCCCTCATAATGCATTTGGCTGAATTATGGTGAAAGTTTCCTCAACTTTCATGAATGGTATCTGCAGTGAAAGTGAGGGCACTGCTTAGAAAAGATTGGGATCATATAAATTGGGATGGAGATGTTTGAGAGGAACTTGAGGAGGCTGGGGACATTGAACTGCTAAATTCAGATGAGATTATTTTGCCAGAGAAAGTGGTTTCCCCAATAAAAGTAGCAACCCAGAGGTGTGTGCACCCCCATACCTTGTGTGTTGGCCTCTCCACTTATACCTGAGTGTTGCTCGTAGAAACAGTAATGAACTTCCCTGATGCAGTTACCAAGTAAGACAATGTTGATGCTCCTACCTTCATCACCTACTTTTGACTCTAGGCCTATCTAACCTCAAATCTCAGAAAACTCCTAAAGGTGAAGCATGAGGAAGCATGCTTCACTCTCAAAGAACTTGAGTTTTCTGACTCTTATAAGCTGAATTCTGGGAAATGGGTATAGGAATGGATTTTAAGTGTGGGCTAATGTTGGAAGAAACAAACATGATCAGGCTGAATTTCAGGATATGGGCCCATGAAGAAGAGATTATGAATTTAATGTTGTGGCTCTGGGAGTTTAAAAAGGCATTAGAAGTTTACTTGCTTGGTTGGATGAGACATGGATCAAACATGGCTCACTGTGAGTGAACTTCAGATGTCTGAATTCCTTGGCTTTCTATTGAAAAGGGTATCCAAGAGCTCTGGGAAATGAGAACACTGATATGGATTTGCCAGGTGAAACCTTCTCCATCCTGGCAGGTTCCAGAAAATGTACCATTCACTAATGCTTTAAGAAACAGATTTGAGGCTGGTCATGATGGTGTATACCTGTGACTCCAGCACTCAGGAGGCTGACGCAAGAGGATTGCCATGAATTCAAGGCCAGACTACAAGTCATTCAAGGCCAACCTAACCCCACCTAATGAGACACTGCCTCAAACAAAAAAACACACCAAAACAAAACAAAAAAAAACCCGATTTGTGAGGGAAACATTTTACAAGAATTGCTCTTCTCTGTATGCCAGACCTCACAGTGGGAATTGTAGTTCAGACTCAGTTCAGACATTAAATGCAATAGGCATTATTGGATTGCAGAGTGTCAGGGGCCAAGTGGCATCACTCAACTGCCTAAGGTAAAGTGGGTATACTTACCATAATGGATGGCAGAAATAAAGCAGTGATCAGAATTGTCTGACATGTACAGACCTATTATGTTAGCTAATTAATTATGTTTTTCCCAGAAACCTATTAAATTTTTACTGGACTTATGCAAGCAGTAAAATTTTAGAGCAAATGAACAAAAAGCTACTTGAAACTGCAACTAAAAAGAATCATGGCTCCTCAACCAATTCCCAGACTTGAGCCAGTTTACAGCCCCAGAACTTCTCAAATGAAGGGGAGGACTTCCGGGAAGATGGGGAAGCAGTAAGCAGCAGAGAAAACAGCCTCTCAGAAAGTCCCTGTCCAAACCCTAGAATATAGAAGCCTGAGGAAGACAAAAAGAAAGAAGTGGGTCCCCTGGACCAGGAATAATCTGAAGTACAACTGGAAGCCCACAGAAAGAGTAAAAAGAAAACTCCATGTAAGAAAGTGATATCTGGCAGCGCCTTTGCCCTGAGATGGGACTCACTGCCCAAGAGAAGCTGTTCGAATGTGGGGATGAATGGTCATGGTGAGGTGACAGCTGGTGACCAGGGAGGCCTCTGCAGAGAAATGAGGCAATGGAGGGAGTGGCAGATGTGGAGGACTCAGTTCTCCTGCAGGGAGAGAGCAGTTAGCCAGGAGCCATTTTAGAGACAGACTGGATAAGACCAGAACTCAGAACTGCTGCCGGCTTCCTTTGCAGCTCCTACACGGGCACAGAAATTGCCCGTGGAAATTGCTTGGACTGTGGCAAGTCCAATGAGTCTGGTCTCAGGGCAGGCCTGCTGAGGTTAACCACTTCTCCACCATAAAGCAGCTGTTCGTTTGCTGCGACAGATCAGCAGGATTCGGAACTCTGTCTCCACAGGTTGTCTAGTAGTGAACCAGAGAGAACCCCAGAAGTGGACTGTTTGTTTTTCTTTTTCTTCTCCTCCTTCACTGTATTTATATGAATGTGAAAGTGGTTCCTAACATCTGTGTGGGTGTGATTCTATTCTGTTGTTCCCTTTATCTTCTCAGTCTCTCTTTTCCTTCAGTCTCCTGCACCAGTTTCCCCAAGCTGGCAGGATCCCCTTTTGTCCTCCAACCTTACTTCTAATCTCTTTCTCTTCTTCCACTTCTCCATTTTCTTCTTAATCCATTTTAAATTTGAACCCTTGGGGACAAAATTGACATATTACATGCTTATATATTGTATATAATTATCTGGTTTATTTTACATCTTGTTATATAATCACAAATCTAGTTCATGTGGCTAAAAGTTGCAAATTAAGGGTTAGCTCAGTTTGTTGTTTTCTAGGCTGTGCTATTGATACCACTATAGACAAAATGACATAACTGTTTTAAACAGTTGTTGGTCTTGGTATCACATGACTGAGATTAACTAAGGGTCACCAAAAATACTGTGGTACAATGCCAAAGAACCAGGGACTAGGCCAAACAAGCAACAGTTTCTCATCTACAACATACAGAAGAGGTAAGACCTTCCAACAAGCTCAAAACCCAAAAACCAGCCACACCTGGAAGATGCCTCAGAGAATTAATCATCACCTAAGGAGCCTCAATACTACATATAAAGCAACTCACCATAGGCAATTTACAAGCATCATCCCAGGAATTAAACTAAAAAAGAGAGAAAATAAAATGAGAAGACAGTTAAGCAAAAATGCAGTCCCAGATATCCAGTTCGTCAAAGGCAAATCCAGCACGTAATGAGGTAGGACAACCTGAAAGCCCCCCACCAGGTCTCTCTGAGGTGGAAACAAACAAAGCAATTGAATGAGGGTCTGGAAAAATGAAATCAGAAATAATCTCTCAAATAATTATGGAGATTACCAAAACATACACCATGCTTAGCAATGTTAGAGCAGAGAAAGACAAAAAAAAAAATAGATGCACTTAAGAAAATTGCAGATCGGCATAGAAAAGAAATGGAATCCATAAAGCAGATTCAAGCAGATATCCAGGAGAATAAAAACTCCACTGAAAATATTCAAAGCAGATTAGGTCAATGTGAGGACAGGATCTCAGATATTAAAGATAGGCTTACAGTTGACAACTAGGAAAAGAAAGATTCCCCCGAAATAGCAAGGGATCATGAGAAATCAACCTATGAGCTGCTAGGTGAGACAAAGAAGACTAACTTAAGATTAATTGGAGTCGATGAACAAGCAGGAGATACCACAAATGACATTATAAAAATATTCACAGACATCATGACAGAAAACTTTCCTGGTAGAGAAAAAGAATTTGACATATAGATAAATGAGGCATATAGAACTCCAACTAGCAATGATCAAATGAAGGGAAGTCTGGGTTTCATTGAGATAGGACCCTGGTACACTAACAAAACATTGTACTTTCATTCTCTCATCCTTCCCCAAGGGAACCTAAAACCTTTTACCAGAGTAACCACACATTGAGGA